CTTGATCCTCGTGTCAGTTGCACGCTTTTTACCTTTCTTGAGCCTGCTTCGCTTGCAGCATTGAATTCTTGCTGTCTTGACCATCTTGAGCAGTTTCAGATTGCATTGGCTTGCATCGCCCTGCACCTTGTGGGCGATTTTCTGCTACAGTGCCGCGCCCAGCTTTAAGCTCCCTGCCAGAGGTGGATCAGGCTTATGGAATTTTTGACTGTCTCGCAACGGGACTTCTTGCAGCAAATGCAGCCTGCAGGGTCTTCCGACCTGGAGAGCTCGGGTCAGGTCTTGTCACGCCAAGCCTTGTGGCGTCACGACGCTAGCAATCCTTTGCGCCCGCGGGCTCGAGTGGAGTCCTTGTTGTACTCCTCTGCCGAAGGCTTTCGCGATTGGATTGATTCTTCTGTGCAGGAGCCCGAAGCTGAAACCTGGAACCGCCTTCTTTGGCGCGCACATGAGCTCCCTGCCCAGGATGACGATGCCGCTTCCCTAGTGCCCAGCATCTCGGGGGACATTTTTCAGGAGCGCGAACGCCTGGCTGTCTACCTGGCCCTGTCGCCTGAGCGGAAAGCTGCCTTGTGTGGGTGGTGTTCCTCGGCCACTGCTGACACTCGTGTGGTGCCTTTTGTGCAGCTTTCGCAGAAGTCTTCGGCTGAGCCTTCTCGCGCCTGGCGCAAGAGACTTCTCGATTTGGAGGACGGCTTTGCTGCTCTCCGGGGCAGGGTGGACGATGTAGAAGAGCGGACGGGCGTCGTGCTTGGCCCTTCTGCTCGCAACTGCCATGACAGCAGGCTGCGTCGCCTCGAGACCTATTGTGGTATTGCACCTTAGGTTCCCTAGATTTCTGCGGTGGTCTGTTTTGGGGCAACGCCTTAGACCATTGCTGACGTCTCCTTCACCATCGTCTGCAAAAGGCCTGCTTGCCTGCACGCATTTTCTGTTCAGCAAAGCCAATTGCACCTCCGCATCGAGCTCTTGCTAATGACATGGAAGCTCCTTCTTTTTCTTCAAGTGGGTAGCCTACACGGAGCTTTAAAGTGCGGGGGTGGGGGGGAGCTGGGCTAGACGGTTAGAGAGTGTTTGACACTGTGCCGCGTGCTTACTGCTACCAGTGAACCCCTGTTCTTCGCATTCAGTTTGAGTGAGGCCTGCAGGCTGTGCTGGGCACAGCACTGTGGGCTGCCATTTACTATCGAGCAGGTCGGCACTTCGATAGCTTACTACTGTTAGAGTCAGACCTGCGAGGCCCCCTCGCCTAGCAAACTCTTCTTTTGGGCCTGGCCCTGAGAAGTTGCAAACACCCTCGCTGGGCGATCGGTGTCTTGCGAGGTTCGGTCTCGCGGAAGACTTGTCTGAGACTCTGCGGGCTCGGCTCTTAGACCGATCTGACTTGCACTACCGCTGGGCGGTTAGTGACTTGCCAGGCCCGATCTTCTGGTTTTGGACAGGAGATCTCTATCATTGCTTGCTAGGGCCTTGGAGCACTGGGAACAGTCGCTGGGCGATTGTGTCCGTGCTTGCTACAGGAGCCCAATCTGCCTCCTTGGGAGGAGTGTGACCCTGAGACTCTTTGTGAGTATGCTCGCAATTGTGGGCCGTCTCTGGACCGCTTCGAGGTGACCTCTGTGCCAGAGGGAGGGCAGGGAGAGAGGACCATAATTTCAGCCGCGAGCTTGGCTCTGAACCTGTGCCGAGAGTACTCTGTTAGGCCGGCTGCCGTGAGGGCGTTATTGACTGCATTAGGCTTAATCTTCGTCGTTGTGAGTGTATGTGTACTCAGGTGGAGCGCCAGGACGTCCCAACCATCGCCCAAATGCAACATGAGATGAGGCTGCTCGGGGCTCGGCGAGACCTTGGCTGCTTCGATCGACTCAATGCTCTATCTATGCCCGAGCCGTGGGACGTGCAGGGAGGGGAGTTGGCCCTTCAAGGCTACTTACCAGCGCCCGCTTCTAGCTCGATGACAGGTGGAACCGACGTGGGCCCGAGACCTCCGATTTTTCATTTCCCAGCCCGGAGGGCATTGCCGGTTATCCGGGAACCTCTTCGCCCTGGACACAAAGAGCGAGCGAAGGTTTTAGCTCTGTGGCAAATGCTGATTGTCACATCGGCGTGTGGGCTTGCAGCGGTACTGGCGAAGGCTGCTGATGATCAAGTGCCGGTGATTTTGGAGGATGTTTTTGCTAAGAAGGCCACTTCGACTTTACGAAGCCGAGCCTCCAGCTTGTTGCAATTCACCAGGTGGCAGAAAGCCACCTACGGCGAAAGTTCACTATTTCCGATGGAGGAAGACAGGCTATATGCTTACACCTGTTACTTGCGATCTGAAGGTGCACCGGCTTCTCGAGGGGAACGCTTTGTCCAAAGTGTTCGCTTCGCTCATACTCTTCTGCAATGCCCAGGTGATTTGAGCTTCTTGTCAGCCCGAGTTATCGGGGCCACAGTCGCGGGTGTGGCTAAGAGGCCGGTCATGAAGAAGTGGCCGCTCAAGGTGCATCAGCTTCGCAGGTTAGAGCAGCTTGCTTGTGGCGAGGCGAGTGTGGTTTCTGTCTTTGCGGGATTCCTGTGTGTCTTGGTTCATGGACGACTTCGGTACAGCGATGCTCAGATGTGCTTCTCTGAGCCCATTCTGGAAACCGGCGAGGCGCATAATTTATTGACTCTTCAACTGTATGGTTCCAAGACTTCTTCCCTCCGGAGGGCTACTAGGTTTCGGCTCATTCCGGTCTTTGCAATCAGCCCCGGTGTCCACGGTGCTGAGTGCTGGGCGAGTGCTTATCTGCGAAACCGGGCGGAGCTGGGACTAGAGGCATCTGAGAGTGAACCGCTCATGAGGTGTCCGTGCGCGGATGGACACTTTACAGATCGCAAGTTGCTTTCTTCAGACGCCTCTGTCTGGATGAGGGAACTTTTGGGAATGGATTGCAACGAGGAGGAGCTGGCCAACCTTGCCACCCACAGTTGCAAGGCCACATGCTTGGCTTGGCTGACCAAGACAGCTGCCTCTAACAACATGTGCCGTCGGGCCGGGTATCATGTGGGGCAGGAGGGGCGCTCAGAGCTCGAGTATGCCCACGACGCCGCAGCACCCCTGGTACGCAGGTTGGCGGACACCCTTGATTTGATTCGTGAGGGGATCTTCTGCCCGGACGAGCCGCGACTCCAGAGGTGGCATGGGACTTGACTTTGAATCGGCCGTTCTTTTGCTGCGGCGAGGCGAGGAGGCGAAGCGCCCTCGCAAAAATGTTCCTGCCCAGGTTAGCCGTCTGCTGGAGGGTCATCTAGCGATTCGGAATCAAGTGAGGACTTAGATGAGGATTCTGATAGTGCTGGATCTGAAGCTGATGGCCACTTAGCAGACATGCATGCACTGGGCGAAACGATTGCATCTAATGCGAGTGATGGTTTTGTATACTATAAACATGGCTCGAGGCAGACTGTGCATCGAGCCCAGAGGCCACACGACGATGATGCGACTGTTTTCGTGTGCGGTCGCTTAGCCACGGCAGCGCATGTGGAGCTCGGTGCGCGGCCCAACGTGATTTTGAATCCTTGCCTCTCCTGTTTCAGGTGACGAGAGCTCTGCCGTGGTGTCGTAGTAGTGTTTGCGAGGTCTTCCTTACTGAGGGAAGTGCTCCGGATCGTTGGTTTTGGGCCGATTTTAGATTAGGGTTTTAGGCATGCCGACCTGGTGTGCCTTCACGAGTGGAGGTGCACGCACTCCAAACCACCATACCGGTGTGCCTCCGGTTTTTGATAATGAAAGGTGCTGACGAAGCGGATCAAAGACACCCCTGCATGCTACATGCTTGCGAGTTTTCCGCTAGCTCCGACCAAGCGCCGCTCTCGAGTTTTGAACGGCTCCAGGTCCTTCCTAGTGGTAGCCCGTCATGTCCTATGTCGATTCGAAAGCGATCTTTCGACAAAGGTGCCTGGCTGTTGGGTTGCCTACTGAGGTCGTTGATCGGCTCGACTTGCGCGGCTGGAGCACATTTGCTAACTTTGCTCATGCTCCTACTGCCACCCCGGGTACTGCAGGAGCGGAAGCCGCCGTCAAGATTGTCCTTGATGCCATCCTAGGCGACTCACTTGCTGCTCACGAGGCAGCTCTTCGCCGGTTGCACTGGGAAGCCTGGACACTTACCGCTGCAGACCTTAAGCGAAAAGTGGACGGGACTGACGAAGCTGGGCCGAGGAAACTGCCCGTCGCCGAGATTGGCGCACGCCTGCAGGTCCTTGCTCCAAAGATTTCTCCCCTCAAGCTTCAAGGAATCTTGGAGCCCAGTCATGCCAGCATTAACTTGTTTGCAGCCATGCTTGATGAGGGACGACTTCGCTATGTGGAGTGGGCCAAGCTCACCACAAGGGACCAAGAGGTGCTGGGTGCCACCGAAGATCAGCTTCTAAAAGCTTGGAGGCCGGACAAGGCAGGCATCGTTAGGGAGCACAAAGATACGCCACGTCTTGAAGCAAATGTTGCTACGGACCTGTTGGTGCATCATGCTTTGCGACGGAGGGGTGTGTGCTTCTCTGTGGCCGAACTCATGAGCTTCGAGGTGCATGAGTCTCTGATTCAGTTCTTGTTCGATGCGTATTACAAGGAGCCCACCGAAGGCTATCAGCGGGTCACTCTCGCGCAGCTTGCGCTCTGTGACCGGGAGGTGCACCTCCGCCTGAGTGATCAGTGTCGTTCCGGGTTCACGCTGGGTTCCGATGGATTTTGCCATTGGATAGACATTTGCCGATCGTTCTGCAAATGCGTTGCGTTGAACAATTGCTCCTGCCTCGAGCCCGAGGCGCTGCCAGCACTACTCCCCGGGACGCCCCTAAGCCTAAATCCAACCCTAAGAAACGTAAGACCCCTACGGACTCCTCAGTGCCCCCGCCCCCAAAGCCTGTCGCTGCAAGGACCGACGTGAGGCCGAAAAAGCGCACACCTTACATGCCTGCCGCACTGAAGGGTGGGGTCCCCGTCGATGCCGAAGGGGCCGCATTGTGCTGGAACTACAATCTTGGCAAGTGCCCCCATGGCGATGCTGCTTCGTGCCCTCGGGGCAAACACCTGTGCTGCAAACCAAACTGCTTCCAGAAGCATCCCTTCATTCGCCACGCCTGACTAGGTCCCGTAGGTGAGGCTCCGAGTGTGGCCGGCTTTGGTGTCGATGCTGCATTCGAGGCCTCTGGGCGATCTGTCTGTGTGACTTCGACAGGAGGTGAACCATTTTCCGTACGTTTAAACCTTGATTTTCCGGGAGCCACTCTGAGTGACCACCCTGCCGAACTCTTCTCTCGTCAGCTGTTGCGGGCGAAGTTGCCGGATCGTCGGGATGTGCTGCAGCTGTTTGATCTTCTGCCTCGAGAAGAATCCTCGCGTGGCAGTACCGACCCTTTAGCTTTCGGCTGTGGTTGCTGGGTTCGTGATGTAAGATTTGGATTACGCCGTAACAATCACTTGTTTCCAGCTTCTGTTCAGCTCCTGAATGTTTTCGTGAGGAGTATCCGCTCGAGCCACGTGTGGACTTCTATTGTCATTTTCGGTGACGTGCGGGCTCCCCGCCACCGCGACGTTCGCAACAATTTTGCCCCTAACCTAGTAGTAGCCTTGAGCGATTTTGAGGGTGGCAACATCTTCGTCGTCCAGCCCGAAGGTCCTGAGGTGGCTTTCGATGCAGGTACACCTGTGAGAGGCGTCATCTTAGATCCTAGAGTGCAGCCTTGCTTGTTGCATGCGCGACGAGATGAACACTTCACCTTGCCTTGGCGAGGTCGGCGGGTAGTGTTGGTGGCCTTCTGCATAGACCCTGTGCAGCAGCTGAAAGATGACCAACGTCATGAGCTCTGCTTGTTAGGTTTTAGGCCACCTCCAGCGTGTGCTACTCCTCCGCCTCGCTCCTGTCCTGCCCAGCAGATGTGTCTCGAGATCTTTTCGGCGCCGCCCCGCTTGTCGGAGCTGCTTCGTAATGTGGATGTCCGGACCTTAGCTTTGCATCATGCCCCTCTGAAGGTTTGGAAGGTGCCCTGCTTGAAGTGGGACGTGCAACAGTCTCCTGACGTCGAGTTTTGTTTGCAACGACTCCGGGAGGGTGCTGTATCCTTCCTTTTCGTGGTACCCCCTGGTGGCTCGCAGTCCCTCTCCGCCCCCTTGAATCAAGCGGTCTTGAATTTTCTGGTGCTTTTACTCGCCACTCTTGCCGAAACGTGCACTTCTTTCTGCTTGTGCCTACCTCGTGCCTCGGTCTTCTGGAAACCTGTGCTTGCCCAGACAATCGGCTTGAAGCATTTCTTGACTGACGTCGACTTGTGTCAATACGGGTGTGACCGTAGGCGTGCTACGCGACTCTTACACAATGTGCCTGCTCTTTGCGATTTGGCCAGGCGCTGCGATGGGTCTCATGTGCATGCTCCTTGGGCTGCCAAGGCTCCCGACTCTCATCAGCAGCGTCACCTGCCGACCCCTTTTTGCGACCATGTCGTTCAAGCGTGTTTGCCGCTTTTGTCTTCGTCCATGCTGCCCTCGCCGCTCCGTCCTGCCTCTGCGGCATTGCAAGGGTCCACCAAGCTTCATGCCGTGCCTGCTGTCGTGCCTGAGTACAAGCAGGTCGTGCGACTGCGAGTTTCTCCTGACGTTCCCCTCCCCGATGAAGTGCCTGCAGACGGCTGCCCGTCCCTTCCTGGGGTTCCTGCTGGGGCTGTGCGCTTGACTGGCGGTCGCTTGAACCGCGACACGACACTGCTTCTTAAGGGGGTAGGCCACGCGTCGTGTCGAACTGAGGACCCACCGAATACAAGTGATTTGCAGCAGAACCCACATGTGCATGTTGCTTATGCTGTCCCTTGGAATGTGTCCGAGTTTCTTGAGCAAGCCCTGCATGCTGAACACCCGTGTGACAAGCTGTCAGGTTGTGAAACGCTTGCTGAGGATAACATTCGATGGATCACCAGCACTCCTGCGGCCGAAGTCCGATCCTTCAGAACCAATGCCCTGAAAGCTCTCCTCCAATCTGAGGCCGAGCTCAGAAAGGATGAAGAGCTTCTTCATCGATCCCTAAATCTTGAGGTAGGTCGG